TGATCTGTTGCCACTTGATGATTTTAAATATAGGATATACATCCTTAAAAAATTCCATAGTATTGTATTATCACTTTAACCCTAAGCTGCTCTAATTAACTCCTTCCTCTTCTTAGCCATCAGTTTATGCTCATATTTTTTTATTTTTTTACCACTTTTTTGCTAACAGATGATACTTGTTGCTCAAATTGTTTAGATACCAGTTTCCACTTATTAGGCAGCCAATATACTTTTATACAAAGGGCCTTCATTTAATTAGCCATTTAATTCCATTAATTTGCCTTGTACCAGAGCTCAACTGAATTGAACAAATTAACATTACTTATGTTGTTGAATTATAATTAATCTCCAGTGAAATGTCATTACAGCATCTATATAATATAAATATGTGTGAATCATATAACCAACCACCTTCTTGCAGTGGTATACTGTTCACAGAGGTATGCTTTTGACCTGTTATTTTTCCATGCAATAGTAAAACAAATATGATAATACATAGTTATAGATAATAAATAGCACTATCATGTATAGACTTAAACATTTCAGTTTAAATAAGTCAAATAAGAAAAAACAAACTGCAAAATTATTGTTTAAACATGTACAGAAGATTACATTTACAGTTAACTCATTTATTTTTATCATATTATGGCAGAATGTACATAGTTATGGTATCAGTTTCTTTGATGTTGGTTGCAACACCATGCACTGGCAATTGATCACTATGATTATGACTAAAATAATAGGCACCTATTTAATATATTGTACTTTGCAGCATTGTCGCTGTTATTATCCATTGTATCTCCAAACATATGCAACATAATAAATAAAATGCATACAGCTACAGGCAATATGTATACAATAATAACACAGAAAAAAAAGTTTTTGATTATACCCATTCTAAATGTGCTAAAAAAGCAGAAAGGTCCAAGACTGGTAGCACAAATTGAAAATTGTGTATTTGCATCCTTAATGAGGGGGAGAAGGGCTGGTTCTGTAAGTGTTGCTTCCGATTGCAAACCTAACAGGCAATCAATCTAGCAAAAGTACATTTCCATCAAAGGCAAATACCAGCAGGGTCTAGTAGTGGCAGTGAGAGGCTTTTTAGTACTTACACTTCTGATAACTAAAGGTTGCCTTCTGAAAATAAGGACTACTAAACCAAAAACACTGTCAGCACAGCTAGGCTGTAGGAAGTAAAGGGAGGGCATAGTCTACCTCACTCATCATCAAGTTTTGCTGCAGCAACTTTGTTGGGGCATGTGTGGAAAAAAGAGGCTTATATGTTTCAAACGTACTCATCCTTTGTTATTGCATATACTGTAAATAAATCAAATTGATACAGGTAAATACTACTTTCTGTGTCCTGTTTTTACTCCTAAACATTTTATAGTGATTTTACCTACAAGGTTTTGAGTGGATCAACTACTAATATTACAATTAGAACATGTAAGTGACAAGGCCAAAAGTTATATAATACAAAGTAATCAGGGAAATTCAGAAGAATATTTATAACAAATTTTAGCTAATATCTAAGTTTTATATGAAGAATGAATGCATGAATAAACTGAATCAATATAAACTTCATAAAATGAAACACATAAAAAGATTGGCTGCAACTTACTTAATTTCTTATAGTGGCTATTTCCATTTATTTTTTAAACCCACAAATCACTAAATGTAATATTTGTTCATCATAGGAAAAACTGAGCAACACATTTAGGTTTGTAAAAAAATAGGACATACTTATAAAGCAGTGCATCTGACATCTTCCTGGTAGGTGTGTTTTAAATTACAGTGATTGATTTACCCACAGTAAATATTTGGTGAGTGTCACATTCACTACTACACTGTGACAAACTCATTAGTACATAAACATGCCCCATTTAACTTACTAATGAGATTTTCCATTATTGACAGCCTATATGACAGGTGTTGGACAGAATAAAAGAGTGAAGGGGACTCTCCCCACTGGGGACCCTGACATCAATAAAAACATTTTTGTTATATGAGTATGGTACATCAGAATCTTTGTCAGCTTTGGTTGCTTATTGTGTCCCCACTGGTGAAGTTTTTCCGCACTTTCTGTGTTGAAAATGGGCATAAGGCAGAACAGGAACTGACAAGAAATCTTTCCAGAAGAGGAGGAGCAAAAAAAGCAATTAACATCACTTCAATCAACAGTCAAAATAAAAAAAAAAGTTTGGGCAGAAACCCCCTAGTATACAAATATTAATGTCATAGAAAAGTCAGCACTTCGAACCATTCCCCCTATCCATTACACACACACACACACACACACACACACACACACACACACACACACACATTACCCCATTGCTACCTCTTTAATCTTCTGTGATAACATTTCTTTTACTTGGTTACAGATTAAAGTGACACTAACTCAGGAGTTAAAACCTAAAAATGGATTTAAGTACCCTAGCCATTAACAAACATTTATCTTATTTGTGTATCACTCAGATGTAGATCCTCTCTGAATTCATGCCGACACTGTCCTTCCTTCTGGAGGGTGGCTACTTTTGTTCCCCATAGTCCCTGTGTGTTGTAAAGTAGCCATCCTACTCACAAAGAAGAGAGTGTCAGAATCAGTCACCCAACAGAGCCCTACCACTAAAATTTGGCAGTCATCAGTGGCACCCAAGAACAAAGAAGCATCAAGGGAGGTTGGCCTGGAACTAGAGATAGGGTATGTTGAGAACCTACCCTTTGTGAGAACCAAAGTGAAGCTTGGACAGTGAAAGCACAGGAAGCAGCTAAGACTCTGTGGGGATACACATTGATATGGCAGCACTATCACAGCTTGGACTGCCAGGTAAAGTGTATTGACTGGCAGTAATCTGAGGAAACTGTGCAATGGACCACAATATTAGAGGTCTTTCCATTGTATTAAGCCTGCTTTGTTCCTGTGCTAGACGGTAATATATGAACCCTTATTTAAGCATTACAAGACTTCGCAAAACTGCTATGTTCATACGGGCAATATAGTGTTTTTTTCGCACCTTTGACAGTTATATAATCCTTATTATACAAATTTGTTTATTTACTGAGAAGTATACTTAATCATACCCCTCTATTTACAAAAGTGGCTAAATACACTTCGAATTTATGAATGTGTTTGTGACAAAATATTTAGGCGCAAAGACCATATTCATATTCATTTTTGAGGCTCACTGCATGTTTAGCATAATTTCTCTACAGCGCAGTAATTACATCCAGTATTTGCAACATGAAAAACCCTCCAAACTGTTGCATATTCTAGAAGTTCTCCTGAGCACATTTTAAAGTATTGCAAAGATAATTCAGCTTCATACCCTCAAATCAGCTGATAGCTTCAAGCATATTCAGCTGTCCTCCCGGAGGTTCCTTGCAAGCTTGCAACAATTTAGAGACAGTTTATAGACCATGACAATTTAGAGAAATTTTTTAGAAAATTCTCCTAATGCAGGCATTTAGGAATGAAACATAAACTAGGATACTAAAGCTAATAAATCTGTTTCTATATGCACTAGCATCAAGGGTGCAATATATGGTAAATAGTTGATAAATAGTTGATAGATAGAACTTAATGTGTAACCAAGTATAAGAATGTTTTATATGTGTTTGTGTAATGAACTGAAGAATATTACCACAGGGGACTAAGGTAGAATTGCAGTGAGCAACGAGGTGGGGGGTTGTTTCTGTGGTATTTGGAGTTTAAGTATCTACATTGGAATATTTTAGTGTTGTGATATATATTATTGAACAACTTTTAAATACTTCAGTGATCTGTTGTTTCCTTTCATGCAGAAGAACATCCAGATGGCAGTATTTTTTTTGAAGATGTGCTTTTGATAGATGTAGGTTTTAGAATCACTTGCTTTATTTCTTTATCATAATATAAAAACTGTCTGTTAGCAACACATTTCTAGTTCTACATTTACTGTTCCTCACCTTGCTGCCTGTTCTTAATTTGCAAGCCTCTAATGCTGTCTTCAACATCTGAATGTGTTTGCTTCCTATAATCAGCCTTTGTGTTGTCACTCTTGATATTACTATATTCTAATACATATACAGTCTATACAAATAGCAATAGATACAATGAAAGTGCACAGTCTTTAAAAAAACAAAAAACAGTAGGTAATTTCATTGTTAACTTGTATTCAAAGCAAAAAATTTTGTTTTGTTTTGAATAAGGTGGGGAGAAGTTAGTTAGTCCCTATCAGGTATGCTTGCCTTCAGGTTTATACAGAGTTCATTTAAAATTGTGGCCTCTCAGGCGGTCAGTGAGGGTTCCAGGTGGTCAGTGAGGGCTCAAAGTGGTCAGTGTGGGCTCCATGTGGTCAGTGCATCCTCTCAGGTGCTCAGTGCGGGCTCCAGGTAGTCAGTGAGGGCTCTAGGTGGTCAGTGAAGGCTCCAGGTGCTCAGTGCAGGCTCCAGATGGTCAGCGCAGGCCCTAGGTGGTCAGTAAGGGCCCCAAGTGGCCAATGTGGGCTCAAGGATGTCAGTGAGGGCTCCCAAGTGAGCAGCGTGGGCTCACAGGTGGTCATTGCAGCCTCACAGGTGGTCAGTGCAGGTTCCAAGTGGTCAGTGCAGGCTCCAGGTAGTCTGTGAGTGCTCTAGGTGGTCAGTGAAGGCTCCAGGTGGTCAGTGTGGGCTCCAGATGGTCAGCGCAGGCCTTAGGTGGTCAGTAAGGGCCCCAAGTGGTCAATGTGGGCTCAAGGATGTCAGTGAGGGCTCCAGGTGAGCAGCGTTTGCTCACAGGTGGTCAGTGCAGCCTCCAAGGTGGTCATTGCGGCCTCACAGGTGGCCAGTGCGGCCTCTCAGGTGGTCAGTGCGGCCTCTCAGGTGGTCAGTGAGGGCTCAAAGTGGTCAGTGTGGGCTCCAAGTGGTCAGTGCATCCTCTCAGGTGGTCAGTGCGGGCTCCAGGTAGTCAGTGAGGGCTCCAGGTGGTCAGCGAGGGCTCCAGGTGGTCAGTGCGGGCGCCAGGTGCTCAGTGAGTGAGAATGGCAGGTGCGGCCACAGCAGATCTCATTCTGATGTCTCCAGGTGAGCTGTGCTGGGTTTAAGGGGGGGGGCTGTGCGGGCTCTAGGGGGGTCAGTGCAGGCTCTCATCAATCTCATTCTTCTTTTGACACCACCCTTAATGGATCATTCCATCAAATATTTATATGGCTAGCGTAAATAGAAATGCTACTGCATCATAAAATGTTAGCCATACTTCACATAAGATTTGTGTGTCCTCTTAAAGTCTAAAATTATGCCAAAGGTACCACAGAAAAAGATCCGTGTTGGTCTAGTTTCACTGACTCCTTATATTAGAGCAAAATTGATTTTAAGTCAAAATGGGTGGCTTAGGGAGCCATCACAGGGCTTGTAAAGCAACAAGGGAAGGTAAACAGTGATGATTGGTGAAATTATAAAACATATAAATATATATTTCACCATAATTTCACCATGCGTCACTGTTTACTTTCCCTTGTTGCTTTACAAGCCTTGTGATGGCCCCCTAAGCCACCCCTAGCAATCATCTCATAATGCCATATTGCAGAGGGTTCAAACGTTTAGTAACTGTTTATGTAGTGAGAAGCCAATGGGCAGTCATTAAAATATATATGGGTAATAAATGGCCAATCAAGATAATATGTGGCCAAGAAATGGACAATCGTGTTTCCCATGCATATCATATTATATCATATCCCTTGCATTACTCTCAAACAGGCAATCATGACAATAGGCGGGCATGAAACAGGCAATTATGACTACACGTGTGCAACAAATAACAGTCATTACAAAACATGGATAATAAATTGGCAGTTGTGAGAATAAATTGGCAAATACAGGCAATCTTGGAACTACTAAGAAAGAAAATGGAATTATGAAAATATGTGTAAAACAAATTGGAAATTATGAGAATATAAGAGCAACAAACAGGTGATCATTACCATATGTTGGCAGCAAACCAACAAACATTACAATACACAGGGAAGAAATTGGAACTAATAACAATATGCAAGCAAGAAATTGGTAATTATGACAGTATGCCATGATCTAAAATCATGTTAAGGGGTCCATTTTTGTGGACACAGGAACAGATCCAAGACAGCTGAAATCAGCGTTCCTAACCTAGGGAGCCTTTTAAAGCCCATTGCAACCTTAATTTCACCCCCCATCCTGCACATTTACTCCAATGCATTTTGTCAATGATGGTGAAATTTCACGAAAATGTCCTGAATTTTTGAAGAAATTTTGGCAAAGCGAAAACTCTCAGTTTCGCTCATCCCTACTTATATCTTCTGTAATCTTGCCAGTTCTTTTTTTAGTCCTTGTCTGTTTTGTTATCCTCTTATTTTTAGTGTATCTAAAATATCTAACTTTTTTATCTTTGCAGATATTTCCATGGACACCAGCCAAATACTCAAGGCTGCTGCATTTATGCTTTTGATGATAATAGGGATCCCAGGAAATGTCTTTATTTTAGTGCAATTTACCTATTTAAGAATAAAGGAAAGAAAATTATTATCAAATAACATAATATTGACAGTGATGTCATTTAATCATTTTCTGATTGTCATAGCACGTGTTATTCCACAGACATTGAATGCTCTTGGTGTTGAGAATCTGTTTGATGATTCGGAATGCAAAGTTTCCATATATACCTATAGAGTTAATAGGGCAATGTCTATATGTGTTACCTGTTTACTGAGCTGCCACCAATGTATTCTTATTGCCCCAATGACAGGGCTTTGGGTATATCTCAAACAAAAAGTGTCAAAAAATCTATATATAATCATTTTGGTCTTCTGCATTACAAATCTCTCAATATACCCTATCTTTGTTATGAATGCTCATGCCAGGAAAAACACATCCACACTATATTCCCTTCGTCTCATATATTGCGATGCAGATTTTGTAAATCAGTTATCTTATATTGCCAATGGAATTTTTTACACTGTTCGAGACTTGTTTTTCGTGACTATAATGATTGTAGCAAACAGCTACATTGTTTTAACTTTGTTTAACCATGAAAAAAGTATGAGAAAAATAAAGAGTTTGAACAAACCCCAAAGGAGATCATCTAAAGATAGGGCTTCAAGAGTTGTTGTTTTATTGGTAGCCCATTATGTTGTGTTTTTTGGATTAGATATCTCTTTATGGATCTATACATTAACTTTACCTTATGTAAGTACTGACATCAATGATATTCGGGTATTTGTAGCTTGCTGTTATGCATCTTTGAGTCCCATAGTCATAATAACAACAAACCCCAAACTGCAGATTACCTGCTTATACTTATATAAACAAAGACATTCTCCAAATGTTTTATCGAGCAATAATAATGTGTATTGTATTACAGCATAACTAGAAGTGGCAGCTGTAGAGCAAAGTAAAAGAACTATTCAAAAAAGTTAACTTTTCCTGTACACAAATAGACAAAATAATTTAACAGTGGCTTTTGCAATGATCACAAATGCACCGCTTAATGCACTACAGAGATGCTCTTGGCATCACTTCAACCAACCAATCCTTTCTCTTAAATGCAAAGTTAAGCTAATGTATGAAACCTTTCTATATAACAAAAAATATCCTCATCTACAAGGCTTGAAGAGCCCTTCAAAAAGTCCTTTGAAGACCAAAGGTACATCGAGCAGTAATTCACTGACACGTGTGGACACAAGGGACTATTACTGTCAATGAAGACATATAGATTGATGCATGGGATTTTAGACCGGTTCTAGGAACGGCACCTGGAAAAGGGAGTTTTATTTGTTTTTTAATGTAGTTTTTAATGCACAGTCTGTGCAGCCTTTTATCAGCAGTTGAGGGGATGCCCACCTGATTAAAGTGGGGCTCAGGATTCTGAAGAGTGAACACAAATGTGAATATAATATAATATGAATATAATATAATACAACATAGCTGAACTGGAAAGTGAGCTGAATTAGATAGCTAAGTAGCTGTCT